TTTACACCGCATTCTCACCCTCCTTTCTCACCCCATTGCAAACTCACAAGCTCTCAGTCTCCTGACCTCTCATCTTCTGCCACAGGATGATAGAGAAAGAAGGCCTTTGTCAGATGTAGGCCCCTCAATGTTACAATTCCCAGTCTCTACAATTTCAGTAAATTTCTTTAGAAATACCCAGGCTGTAGCATTATAATAGCAAAAAGAACATGAAGTTCTACAATTGTCTGTGTAATTTATTCCCCAACTAACCTCCTTTCCCGCTTCCTGCACCTGATAAGAAATGGCACACATCAGCTCATGCATTTAAAGAGTCGGAGAGGGTTGTTTTTAAGCAAGACTTCTGAAAGTACCTGAGCCTCAGGAGTAGTGGCACACATTCAGAGCTGGTTGCAGATGACCTTATTTTCACTACAATTCTGCACCAGTCTCAGAGGAAAAAATGCTGCTTGTCTCAGCATGTCCACTAGGCCTGCTCAAGTGCTCCGCTGAGACCTGTTACACCAGTGGCTGGGCTGATAAGGCCACTCCAGGCCCCAAACTCATGTTCTTGGTTACTGCAAACTTGGAAGGAGTCTGCAGAGCACTTCCAGCAGTAGATCACTCTGCTTAGCTGCTCTTTGAGAGTGTGGTTTGAAAACTGAGGCTAACATACTAATCTATCTCGGTTGAAAGTGCCCATCCATTTGTCTTTTTCACTTGTTACGAAAAGGACTGAGTACTAGAAACCAAAGGCATTTGTATGAACCCAAACACCTATGCTCCTGGTAAAATTAAAGCTTGCTGATTTCCCCTTAAAACACGAGAATGAGTATTCAGATTTCAAAATCATTTACTTCACTGTTTAATAAAGAAAGCTGCTGACACAAGGGCTGAGTCTAAGTTTTACCCTCATGAGCCAGCTTGTGCACAGGCTCACACATACACACAGCTACAAGGTAAATAGGCTAGAGGCTGGGAAAGATAGGGAAATCTGTGCTGAAAACAGACAAAATGCTTCTCCACCTCACCACTGCTGACATCTTGGCCTAAATCATGGGGGGAGGGGGGTTCACATTGTAGCATAGAGAATCCCTGAAATCTACCCACTAAATGCCAGTAGCACTCTTACCCCATGTAGTATTACAACCAAGTATGTCTCTAAACATAGACAAACATCCCAGGGGATTGGAGGTATGCGGCACAAAAAAGGTAAAAATGTTTTGATTACAAACCAGTGTTTTAAGAGCATGAAAAGATACGTGTGAGAGAAAAAAGACACAGGCTGCACCTAGAAAAATTCCTTGAAGCATATCAAAGTTAGACCAGTCAATTTGTCATCCTAGCAAACAGAAACTCAACTTCCACAACCTTAGTCCAACCAGAAGCAAAGCAAAGCAAAACAAACACATTTACCTGGCAAGCTCCTTAAGCACAAATTGATGTGGTTAGGAGGTAGAAGGAAGGAATTCTAACTGAAAACTTAAAGAAAAACATGACTAACCTGGAAGATTTAACATGATAATAATCACACTCAAATCCACAGTGAATACTCTTCTAGACCTTAAGGCAAAATCAAGGCGGCCAATTGATTCTAACTCCTCTGACAGCTCCAGTCAGGTGGTGGCTGTCTGGAGCCAAGAACTGAGCAGGGCTCTGAGATTCAGTGAGCTGCTTAAATACAAAAAATACACAAATTTCCCATGCTGGCCACAAACAGGCAAGAGGGCAGGGACAGACAGGCCTCACATCTAACTTCAACTTCTCTTATGCTCAAAATAATATTCAGTAAAAAAAAAGGGGGGGGGGACCAATCCTCCACAGAGAGCAAGAGAAAGAAAGAGGGGGGAAGAGGGAAGAGACAAGAGGAGGAGGAGGAGTGAAGAGACAGGGAGAAAGACAGAAAGACAGAAAGAAAGACAGACAGACAGAAAGAAAATAAGAAAGAAAGAAAGAAAGAAAGAAAGAAAGAAAGAAAGAAAGAAAGAAAGAAAGAAAGAAAGAAAGAAAGAAAGAGAAACAAGGAAAGAGAGAAATGCTATCACTCTCCTACTTTATCAGCTTCCAATGGATAAAGTCCAAACCAGCCCGCAAAACCCTTCATGATTTCTTTACAACATGCTTCCCCAAGGTGGTCTGCACCACTATGGCTGGCCATGGTGCAACCACCTACTAATGTCTCACTGTTTCCCCAAAGCACATGCAATTTCACACTAGCCCTTATCACTTCCTGGCCCAGGAAACATGCGCCTCCTTTTCTGAGATGTCCTCTCATCCGCTCCTTGGAACCCACTATTATTAGACAGTCAGCAGCAGCAGGCCTGAAAGCTTGTTAGAAAAGCAGACTGTGAGGCCCCACTCCAGCATATCAGAATTTGCTTTATAACAAGATCCTCAAGTGAACTATAAATGCGAGTTGAGTACAAGTTCAAGTGCAAGATGAGCTCTCAGTGAACCTAAGTCCCACTGGATTTAATTGCAAGTGTCTGGCCCATGGTCAGTGAGGTACTTCGGTGGGCTAAGAGACCAAACCCTACTCATCTTCCGTATTAAAGCAGGAAACCCAAACACCTGCTTCTAGACTCTGTGGCAGCTAACTGACGCAGGTATAGGCAGTGAGATGCCAGCAGAGGCCTGCTGGGGGCTCCTAAGAGAACATTTCTTTCTCTCATGACTTCCTGTCTTCTTACTAGAACACAAGGAGCTGCAGGTGTCACTGTCAGGCAACCATGAGGTAACAAACATGAGACTACAATCACAGTGACAGCTAAGGACAACAGAGTAGAAACAGAATGATCGAGGTTAGCAAGATAAATACAATGAAGCCTCTGGAACACCACAGAACCACCAGACTACTGTGTCAGCCTGTCCAACACTTCTACTTCCCAACATTCTCATTAGTGAATGTTCCTTCTGATGGTGAATGCACGCCTGTCTGTGTAAACCTTTAGTAAAAGGGAGGTGAATTAGTGAACACACAGTGAACTCTACTAAAGGCTCAGAAGACTACAGTGTTTCAAAAACAAGGACTCCAAGAATGTGTTCAACTTTGCCAAGTATGCCTCTAAAGTCTCTATTCTTCTAGAAGTATTGACCTGTTTCTGTTGGTAGCTTAATGGATGTAAAAGTGAGCACAATCTCATAAAGAGCAATGGGAACAACCTCGAAGAATATGCTCAACTTTGCCAAAGTATGCCCATCAATCAGTCCTGCCCATCTAGAATTACTAACCCATTTCTGCTCACTCAGAGCTTGATGGAAAAGCACCTGCCATGTTTACCTGCTAAGATGCTGACATACCAAACAACTGTGAACTTCACACTAGGATTCTGCCTTGAAAACTCCCCCACTGTTGTGGCTACTCATGGGCTGTAAGCAGAGGAGAGGGAGCCTATAAAAACACCATTCTCCTAGTTTCTTACTTTGAGGCCTCGGACATGAATCCTTATTTTGCCAGTTCTTATTTCAGACTAATATTTCCATTCAAAATTTCAAGATCAAACAGCAAAACACTTTTTCTTTGTAAGCACAATAAGCAAAAATGATTAAAAAGGGAGTGGCATGTAATAGCAGTGTTGCTCCTCAGCAAGAAGGCAGGATCTACCCAAAACAGACTCCTCAGCTACATCATCATTTGGCCCTGCAATCCAATCAGTACTTAGAGAAATGTATTTTAGAGAGAAACCTGATAGCACCAATGGAAAACCAGTACCACGTGCCATAAATAGAAGACAAATCAAAAAAAAAATCCAATAAAAGCATAACCTTATTAAATTTAGCTACTATTGGGCTGACAGGATGGCTCAGCGGGTAACCCTGACAACCTGAGTTCAAGCCCCAGAGCTCATATAAAGGTGACTCCACAACTTTGTCCTCTGACCTCTACACAAATGACACACAGACACACAAAGAATTTTTTTTTTGAATAAACGTAATGTTGTCAACCAAAGTCTTTAAACTTGAAATTTGTTTTCTTACTTAAAAAGAAGAGGGAGTGGGGAGGTTGATTCCAGCACACAGAAGACATCAAGCTGAGAGTCAGCCTTGGACTACATAGTGGGACCCTGTATCCAAGAATAAGGAAGGCTGGTAGAACATGAGGGTGAGCCAGATATGTTATTAAAAAAAAAAAAAAGGCTAAATATCAAACTGGGGTGTTCTCCCAAGCATGAGGAAATAAGAAAGGGAATGGAAAGTAACTGATTTTTTTTCATTGTTCGACATCCTTCTAGTTAATATCATACCCATGTCCCACCTCAAAGTATCCTTTTTACAATCTCCAATCATCTCCCTGTTCAACTTGCAGTAAGACCCCAACTCCTTAGGACAGCCCCAAAGACTGTCACCATCTGGACCTTGCAAACTCCTCTGCTCTCCAATTCCAATTCCGTTCTCTCACTACCTGGACAGCTCCGGCGGCAGCAGCAGCAAACTAAGGCCAGGACCACCTCCCCCATCTGTTACGTCATCAGGTTCTGCCTTCTTCAAAGTACTATCTGACAACACCTGGTTAGTTTTACTTAAGAATGAAAAGAAATAGAGCACTATGTGTGTAGGGCACTAGACAGAGTTGAAGTACTTTACTTAGCAGGTTGAACCCCCTAAAAGTGCCCCAACTGGGTAATTTCATAGTGTCCAGTGTAGCCTGTCAACTTGCTGTGAGTAGGTACCAAGCAAACAGGAGCACCAAGAGGCTCAGTAATTTGCTAGGAAAGCAGCAGCCGGATTCAAACCCTGCTGAATGCTCTCCCACCTATACCCGCTCCAAAAACTGCAGTTTCCATGAAGGCAGGGTCTTGCTCCTGGCAACATCCATCCCCAAGGCGGATCACAGGACCTGGCGCCTGGATTCTGGGCGCTTAGAAGAAGACCAAACTGAATGCGTGAATGGTGGGAGGAACGCATTCCTTTGTCATCTGGGTTATCTTCCAGAACTCTCTGAGCATCCAGCGCAGAAATCCTCCCGGCCCGAAGAGGAGGAGCCCAAGAAGCGCCCGAGCTCCCGGGCCCCCGGGGCTCACCTTGAAGTCCCGGCTGTGCTGCGGGGTGTACTCCAGCGTCCAGAGCGCCCGCACCAGGTGCGCCAGCTGCTCGGTGACCTCGCCCTGGCCGTGCGGGCCGCGACCCGCCGGCTGCTCCGGCTCGGGCTCGGGCTCCGGCCGGCCCACCCGGTACTGGCCCAGGGCCAGGTACTCGGCGAAGAGCTCGGTGTTGCTGAGGCACTGCAGCGTGGCGTTCATGAAGCACGTGTTGCCGTGGTTGCGGAGCCCCGCCACGCCGGGCACCGGCTCCGAAGCGCAGGCGGGCGGCGCGGGCGAG